AACTGATGTCATTGCCACAACTTATATTTATTGCAGTCATTCTCAAAACAGGTGCCCTTAACTGCACAGCAAACACAGACCACAGCCAATGAAATAGTACAGCAGAAAGAACACGATGAAATCTCACTCCCTCCACTCAAAATGCCTGGTGGAGATGATGGCTGAGCCGGCAGGATGGCCCCATATCAGCTCTCCCGCTTGGAAATTCCCCAGCCTCCGGTTCCAGAGAGCAGCTGTGGGAATCGGCTGAGAGATCAGCCCAGCGCCAGCTCAACCATGACAATGTGGACATCCTCTCCACGGTGGCCATGCCCCAGCTTGCCTGAAGCATCAGCAGAGAGCAAGCCACCAGGCTGCACTGCAGCAGGGCAGGCACTGGCGACTCTCTACTGCAGGAGGACACGCTGTGCTGCCTGCAAGCCGGTACAACAGCAACCAAATGCTCCCAACTCTTCTTCCTTTGCAACCCAAAAACCATGTGTTGCATTGCAAAGTGGTCCTGGTCCCAAGTGCAGGAGGAAGGTTTCCATGCAGTGAATCCCAGCTGCCTTCCCCTTCTCCTCTCCTCCCGCTTCCCTTCCTGCTTGCAGCAGGCAGGGCTGGGTAAGCCACTCCTGGGTGATTCACTCCCTACCAGGCAGAAATGCTTCCTTGGATACACACAGCTGGGCAGAGGGAAGAGGAGCAGGTCCTCTGATCCAAGCTGAATCACTGCACCTTGAATGAGCTCCTGCATGCAGCGACATGGCTCCCTGAGAGGTCGCAGCAAGGTGAGTATTGCAACAGAGCAACCTGTGACTCATTGGCAGAGAAAAATGCCATTTGGGGTAGGAATCAAGGAGGCGAGGAGGAGAGAAACCTGCAGGGGCTCAAACCAGGGATGCAAGTGGTGGGAACACCCAGGTTTGTCTTAGGGTGAAGAGGAGAGAAACTTGTGGAGAGCAGTGAGAAAGTAGAGGAATGCCATCAGATGCAACTGGGAGTGATGGACACCTTGGTGCATTGACAAGGCTCCTGCATCCCAAGCCCATCTGAGCTCAGGTGGAAAAGGTCCTCATCCAGGCACAGTGATGGGAGCTTTTTCTTCTCTTTTGGGAGAGGTTCACAGAATCAACACGGTTGGAAAACACCTTTAAGATCATCAAGTCCAACCGTTACCCCAGGACTGCCAAGACCACCACTAAAGCGTATCACTGATGGCCTCATCTACCCATGGAAGTACCCACATGAACAGGACAGTTATCAAAGATTCAGGCTGGATGACTGAGTTATTGCTGAACTCTGCCATGGAGCCAGGCTCTGCAGAGATGCCCCCATGCCAGACAGCAGCACTGATCAGGCTCTGGGTAAACCAATCCATGGTATGTGCTTCCTCCTCCTCCTCTCCCCTGGGGCAGCAAGGGCAACACCTGCACCCATGTCCCAGCAGTGAGCCAACATCCCCAGCACCAGGATGCCTCCATGGGCACTGCTTTGGGTAATTCCAGTTGCATGCCCTGCACTTGCCCTACAAGATAACAGACTTTTTCCCACACCCATGTTTTCTTGCTTGTCCCTGAAGGCAAGGCAGCCTTGATCAGCATTTCCATTTTGTGTTGCAACAAGACACAAGCTCCCGGTCAACTGCCCCAACAGCTTTGCCAGGGGCAGCAAGAAAAATTGACTGAAGTTCAAAGTAAGGTGACCAGGGCTTCCTACTCTGGGGCACAGCCTGGTCCCTACTTACAGCTGGCTGCAGCCAAGGGGAAGGTGTAAGCTGGGAGCATCAATGCCGAGATGATGACAGTCATGATGGAAAGCTGGCAGAGCATCCTCCTGCACCCCTCTGAGCCAGCTGGAATCGTTCCCGGGGACCGCAGAGGAAGGGAAACAGGGTGCCCATGAATCATTCACACCCAGGCTACCGGCTCCCCTGTCTCCCTCTAGCGACTGCATCCTTGGAAGATACCAGGTTAATTAGACTGGATCGTTAGCGCAACCTCCATCCTCTGGTTCAAGGCGCCCTTAGGACTTGACTCTCCCAAAGGGCAGAGCCCACGGCATTCATGGAGCAGTGGAACAGGAATGTCCCCAGACCTCTGGGAGTGCTTACGTGTACTCTGACAACAGCATGTCAGAGCAGGGGTACGGAGCCAGAGCCCTATTGTGCAAGATGCGGTACAGAATGGAGAACAACAACAACAAAATATCTCTGTATAAATAAACCAGGCCCATCTCCACTGGGAATTTCTAAAAAATCATCACCCTTTGGGATGCAAAGCAGCCAGGCCTGGAGAGCAGCATCATTATTAAATAAATTAATTAGCTCAGCAGAGCCCGCCAGGTACTGAACACTTTCCACTTCCAAGCAGGTAAATGAGTCCGTGGGAACAGAGGCTGCTCCGTGCTTGCCAGGCAGCACAAGCTGCATTTTAATGGCAATGCAACTTCTGCAGCTCTGCCCCTGGAAGCAGCATACCCTGGTGTTGTGTGTCCCCAGGAGGGAGGGAAGAGCCTCCTGATGCTAGGGGCTAAAGACACCAAGAGGGCCCTGATGCAGGAGATGGGGCTGGTGGTAAAGGGATTTCTGTCCTCAGCCTTAGCCCAGAGCTTTCCCCCTTGGGGAGCAGTAGGCCTGGAGCCAGCACTGCGGTCAGGGGGAGCTGTGAGCAGGGCTGGAAGGGTGAGGTGTGCCTGGTACACAGTGCTGAGCATCACCTCCGAGAGCACAGCCCGCACTTTGCATCACCAGCTGCTTCTGTAGGCAGGCAGGATGCCTTTGATCCCCTCCCCAGCCCTATCTCGCTGCCTATAAAACAGAACTTTGGGGTCTGGCAGGAGCAGGGTAAGTAAATTCTCCTCTCCCATCCCAATTGCAGACATTGAGTGTCACTGTCAGGCACAAGCTGGGCAGTCAGTGTGCAGGCAGGCAACAGGGCAGTGCTGCCCTGACTGCCAGTGCCGAAGGTGTGAGCTTGGCTTTGATCCCCAGTTATGACAAGGAGACCCAGGGCCAGGCTGTGGGTCAGAGCTCAACAAGAGAAGGCAAAGGAAGTGGAAAACAGAAGCTGAGGAAGGAAGGCAAAAGGTGGAGGAGGCAAGAGGTACTCCCCTCCATCGTCCCTGCAGGATGGGTCCAGTTGTGGTGGCCCTTCCTGCAACTCCCTCTCCAGATGTTGCCCAGCAAAAGGTCCAAGTCCCTTCCTTCCTTTGCTAGGACTATGAATTTTAAGAGGAGTATAGAAAACCCATTGAAAAACAGCAGCACTGCACCAGCTTCCATTCCCAAGTGAGCGCTCACCAGGGAAGCGGGGAGGTATATCTCTTTGTAAGAGGAAGTTCACAATTACAGCACAAGTCATTACTGGCAAGTAAAATTCCCTGGCATGTTGTAAATAAAACCTGAATTCCCCAGTCTGGGGTACAAGACAGCCCACAGCCTTCATTCCAGGACCCGTTCGAAAGAGAAAATGAGAAGATATTTTTGATGGCGGAGACAGATAAATGTTGGTAGGGGGAAAACTCCAGGAGGGCATTTCAAACAATGAATATTACATCCAAAACAGCAAAGATTCACTAGCAAAAAGAAGTCCCCAGTGAATACACATTGCTGACAACTCCTGAAATTAAATCTCTGCACACACACTCACCTGTAATCCGAGCAGCATTATTGCACACAGCTCCAGAGAGCACAATCATGCTGCCTCTTCCTCCACTTGGAGGAAACAGCATTATCCAGACCCTGACAACCTTTGAACAGCCCTTATTTTTCACTCCTGGGTGAGGGCACCAGCTCTGCAGACAATAGCCATGCCCACAGCATGGGGCTGCTTGCAACCAGCCACTGCAGCACACCAGGGTCAGGATCTCTGCCCTGATTCCAGCTCCAAGATACCAAGACTGACCCACAAACAAGCAGTCAGCCCCCTTCCCACCCAGCAGTAGATGACCACTGAGATGACCCATTCCTCATTTCACACCGATTCCCACCCTAGATCAACACTGAGCATTCCTCACAGAGGCAGCCTTAATAGCAGGGCACAACCCACCCCTTGAAGTGCTCCTGCTTGCCCATACAGATGTGACTACCCATGCAAATCACCTGCCCTTTCCTCCCTGCCTCCTTTAGAGCCACAAGGCAGAGGAACTCCCAACAGGCTGAGGAAGCATCTCCTGTCACCCCACAGGAGCTGCCCACAGATTTGCCCTGACTTGGGCAGGATTAGGCAGAGCTGCTGCCCAGGGAGAATTGATTACTCCTGCCAGGAGCCCCGTCTGAAAAGGGACATTGTTTCAAGGGTGATTTGCTGTTCCCTCCTCACACACACAAGTCTAGCTCCAGCCCGACTTTTTTGCAAGGCACCTGCTTACACCAATGGTCAGTGATAAGATAAATGAGGGACAATCAAGGGAAGAAGGGAGCAAAAGCTGGGCTGCTCAGCTGAACCAGGATGCTCAGCAAGAAGTGCTGAGCCCTGCCCGAGTGCTCACCCTTGCCTGAACCCAGGTAACACAGATTGATTTGGCACCCCAAAGCAGTAGATGCTCTACTCTCCTTTCACCTTGGCTTCTGAATAGCCCCTGCTATGGCTCAGGAGCCATGTGGACACAGTGATTGCTGGAGGGAACAGGTTGCAATACCTCATTCCCCTTCCCCAACCAATCTTGGCTCCAGGCAGGCTGGCAGCTGGGAACAGGTAGTGCTGAAATGGTGACCTCAGGCCCTGCAGGAGCTGGATTTAGGAAGGCAGCCTCCACCTCTTCTCAGCAAGTAAACTGCTCAGTGGGGTGTGATCTAATGTCAGGGGCCCTACAACAGCATCCCAAACGCCTCCCACCCAAATACAGTCCCTGAGGGCTGTTTAAGCACCAGCCTTGCCCAGAACAAGACAACAGCTGAAAGTTGGTTTCACACAGGCTCCATTCCTATTTCTCTTTGCCCTGTGATATTCCCCACATCCCTTGCTCACAGCAGCACCCTCCACTCCTCAGGACAACCAGTTTCATCAGTGCAGACTTACCCTTATCCTGCTGCTCCAAAGCCACCACTCCAGCCTGACTTGGGTGCCACCAAAGCACCCTCAGAGAAGCAATGGGCAACCTCCTCTCTTGCTCTTAACCTTAACCTCCTGCCGGCAGCTCCCCTCCCTTTTATCACCAGCAAACTCCCCACCTGCACCAGCACCATTTACCCTTAACCCTTTCTCTGTCAGCATGGTCCCTGCCCCAGGGCGATGCAGGCTGACCCACATCAGCACGGCTTACATCAACCTGACCTCTAAACTCCAGGAACCCAAATAAAAATGTGTCTCAGAGATAAACCAGCCTCCCAGGTTTACTTTTAAAGCTCAATGCAAATGAATGCAGAGGACACTTTGCAAAAGTCAATATTGCCTCCTGCTGCAGCATTTCAGCTCTGGTATTAAAAAAAACCACCACAAAATAAAGAGAACCCCTCCAAACCCCAGAAAACACCCTGGTTTATGGGGCGCTTGATACTGGGTGCTATCAATGGATCAGAAACTTCTGTTAAAGTACCAAGAGACATCTTAAAACCAAGTAAAGAGGTTGGAAAGTGTCTTGAGGTCAAAAGCAAAGGACTCAAAAGCTCTGGGGACGATTTGCACTGCTGGGCAAGGAAGAGTGCCTGGGGCTGATACCCATCAGTCCCAATGGTCCAGGTTGCTCAAGCTCCTGGGCACCAGGGTTCACCCAGAGCTGGGAATGGAGCAGCGCTGGTTGGAGGAGTCACATTCATGCTCTGTGCTCCCTCTGAAGCACTCACAGATGGTTTGGAGCACGATGCCAGAGCCACCCATCATACTTTGCTTTTTTTTCTCTTACTCTTTGCTATAATCCTTTAATGAATTAAGGCGAGCAATTAAGCAGGATTTTTTATTCTTTTTTAAAGCGAACGTGCATGAAAATGGAGATGGGTGTTTTTGCTGTTCAAACACTTAATATGATAATGAATGCAAAGCCCCTCAGCTTTAGGGATTCTCCACACCTCTCACCCAGCCTTTTTTCTGTTTATCTTTCTGGCACAGTGCCTCTCATATTTACTCTAATGGAGGTCGACCCTTCCTCTTGCTCACGCTATGCTTGAACTGCACGAAGCAGGGGTGGAGACTCAAATCTGCTTCAGAGCAAAAGCCCCAACCCAATGTCAGTGGTGGAGAGCTCTGTCATAGAACAAAAATGGAGAAACCTCCTTTCTGGGTAAACACAAAGGGCACCACAACCCTGGGGCAGGGACAGCATCATGAGCAAAGCGCTGCTCTGCAGCCCCTCAGGGCCATGTTCCCTGGTGCTACAGGCAAAGAGGCACCTGCTACCTTCATCCAATTCTTATGGCCTCGCTGCACACAACTTTCACAGATTCAATGCAGACCAGCAAAGCTGTGTTTAGAGGCACTGTATTTGCTACCCAGTAATGTACCCAGCCTTCATCTCAGGTGGCTGAGTTAATTCCTCATGCCCAGCTCACTGGGGAAGGATCTGCAGAACAGGGTGACAAGCATCTTTACCAGCCCTGACAGAGCAGAGGGTTTGGCTCTGCTGAGGAGACTGGGCAGGTTTGCCTTCACAAGGCAGTGCTTTGGTCCCTGTATCTTCTGGCCCCTCCAAATGTCCAAGTTCTCAGACTCCTTTTTCATTCCACCGGTTTCACCTCACCCACCTAATCCCTGTTTGGCTTAAAATAGGTATTTTAAATAGGTATTAATAAAATAGGTATTAAAATACGTAAGTATAATAGATCATCTCCGTGCCTCAGTTTCCCCACCAGTGAAAAGGAGGTTAACGGATGCCCCTGCCTCCCTTGGAGGATGAAGACACTGGGAGAGGACAAACACCTGGAAGATGCCATGGGCCCAGACCACGCCTGGAAGTGCCCTGCTCCTGCTACTCTCATCACAAGTGTTTTACCAAGCCCCACAGATGTCATTGTTGCCCTGCCCCAGCAATGATGGGAACCAGCAGTACAAGTCCAAGGGGAAACGTCTTGGTCATTTCTCTGAGTGCTTGGATAAAGTGTTTCAAAGATGGGCAAAGTCTTACCTGTAACTCCATGGGCAGTTGGCAAACGTGGCTTGCTGGAAGGAAGCAGTAGGTCACCAGTGAATACCAAACGGACTGTTCTGAATGGGCTGGCTGGTATCCCCAGCACTAAGATTTGCAGTTTGAGTTGGGGAATGCCTCTGCAACCTGCATTTGTCTCACTTTTCATTCTTTTTTTATTCATTTAAACTCTTTTAACTTCTTCCTGTTTTCATCAAAACACATTTCCTGACACAAAAAGGTCTTGGTAAGCGTTCTCTGACTCATCCAACTGGCCAAACAGATCTCCTGCCTCCACAGGAACTGGACCATCCTGTTCATGGGTGCAACAGCCACCCCCAGCTCTGTGCTGAGGGCTGAGGAAAGCTGTTCCCATTGTGAAACACTCGCTGCCAGATGTGGGCAAGCCCTCCCTCACAGCTGGATAGCAGTCAGACATTTTGATTTTCTCCCTCAGTTGTTTGTTGCCTTGTCCCAGAGCAGGACAAGCCTTGCAGATGAGGCTCTTTACCCATTTCTGCAGAGCAGTCCATCAGCTTTTTGCCTGTAGGACCATGGGTTTGTAAATGTGGAAAGAAGATAGTAATACCCGCATGAAAGTAGCTTCACTGTTGGGAAAGAAGTTTGCCTCCTCTCCTTTGATACCTTGTGAGGAATCAGTGGTAGTTTGGACAGTGGAATTGTTCAGTAGCACAAATTCACAGAGATCTGGGCTGCTGGTACTGTGTCCATTGGTGGCCACCACCCTTTACAACACATCTGAGACCTTACCTTTCTCCATACCAACGCACAAAGAGTGCTGCAAGGGCTGCAAAGCCTGCAGTGCTCATGGCCAAACATAACAGTCAATAAAGCTGATGACCCTTGCTTGATTGTCTTGTTCTGCCAAAGCAAACACTTTTCCCCTTGGGCTGCTGTGCAAGATGCTTCTGAAATCAGGGAAATTGCTCCCACAGTGTCCCTGGGAAATCTCAGGCACACACCATCCATCAATATTTTGCAGTCTGAGACAATAGCAACATCTCCTGCTACACTGGTACAAGCCCAGGCACTGTGCTCCGGCTTCCTGTAAACAAAAGCTGTTTAGATCTAACTTTTTCTTTTGGCTCAGGCTCCCCTGGTTCAGTGAGGATGGTATCGAGATAATCATCGCATGGATTGTATTCCTGGTACGAGGCTCCGTTGCACAATGGCGCCTCTTTATAATGCCCTTGGAGCAAGGAAGTTCCAGGCTGGCTTCTCCGCCAGGCATTACTGGGCATCAGGTCTCAGCACCAAGCCGAAGGAGAAGTGGTAGACAGTGAGGATCTGAAAAGGGAGCAGGAAAACACGGGGTTGAGGCAACTGTAATAGAGAAACATTGACAGACTGCTATGCAAAGGAGAAGAGGGGACAAAGGACTGGAGCAGAGCAGACAGTTTCTTTAAGGAAGACAAAGCAGGATAGGGGTGGTCTTTCCTAGGGAAATGAGTTAGTAGTCCAAGATTCTTCAGGCTAGACCAGAACAAACACAAGTTATTTCCCTACTTGAAAGTTAACCTCTACTTTGAAAGGGTTTCTGCTTGATCCAGGCAAAACAGACCTCTGAGTGAAGCAAGAGAGAGGGCAGTTCCCTGTTCTACCCCTGCCTGATCTCCTAGCGCCTGTGCAATCCTCAGCATGTGATCCATTGCACTGGCCTAAAAGTTAAACACCCATTCTAAGCTAGTTGTGTGGGGGCCAGTGAGGGGAGAGAGGCATCTTCTGGGAATAGCTCATTTCCTCTGGAAAGACATCTGAACTTCTGGGGTTGTCATTTAACGTCTAGTCCCTGCTCTACCCTTCAAATAAATTAACTCCCTGTCTCTTTCCCTACACCCTAGTAAAGACCCAACCATTTCCCCTGTTCTCCCCTTCCCCCTTTTTCACTGCCAACCCCACCAACCTCTTTCTCCTTCACGAAACACCTTGCTGAAGCTTGGTTTCTCCACCAGAATTATGGAAAGACATATCTGCCTTCACCCATCCAGCACAGCCCCAGCTCCTTCCTGAGCAACAGCGCCATGAGGAAGGACTTGCAGGGGTCCTGCCTTGGCTGGAAACCACCATGACTTGCAGTGCACGGTAGGTAGAAGGAGCTCTACTGCAGTAACTTCATAAAAACTTATGTTGGACTGGGACATTCCTGGTGGACAATAGCACGACCCCATGAAATCCTGTAAAGAGCATGAGCTCCATAGCTAATTGAGCTAGGATAGTTAAGGATGAAATCACCCATTCGGGTCTGGTGGCAGTTTTGCTTGAGGTCACTTCCCCGTGCTCCTCTCCCCTACTGCCGCCCTGCAGAGACAGCAGTCACACACACACCGCTCCGGATTCAGTCACCACCATCCCGGCCAAGGATGAGGTCAGCCATCCGGCACGTGGTGCAGAGCGATTGGCTTGAGATGAGCTAATGCTCTGCGCAGACGGACGGAGGGCAAGGAGGAGACACGCTGACTCGCTAGCTCATCCCATGACGAGAGGCATGGTCCAGCCTGGCCCTCTCCGAGGACAGTGTGCAGCTCCCAGTGGGGCTCCACTAGGCATGGACAATGGAACACCCCGGCACTCTCTGTCAGCAGATCTTTGTTGCCTTCCCTGCAACACCAAACCTTCTCCTGGGGTCTTGCACAGCATCTCACGCCATCCCATCAGGGTCCCATCTGTCTGTAGAGCAATGACATCCCCTCTGTGGGCTGGCATCCCAGCCTTCTGTTGTGCTGAGCTTCTGACTGTCCTGGTGCCAGATGGCTTCGGAGGCAGATGACTTCATCTCTTTTAAAGGGGCAAGGGATCTGTCAGTACTGTCATGTTGGAATCCGTGTGCATCATCCTTTGTGGGGAAGCCAGTGAGGAGACCATGGCACAGGAGTAGATATGATCCCACAGACGGCCCAAAGAGTCTTGGGTTTGAGTCCAATACTGCTAACCTCATGCCCTTCACTCTTAGCAGTGCATTGTGTTTGATATTTCCCACCCAATAGACTTGTACAACGCTGTAAAGAGTGAGAGGTCTGACTGAGCATGAG